TTGCTTTATCTCCAGAGCTGTCAAGCCACCACGTTATAACACAGGGCATTGAACCGCCTCTTGAAACACCAGCTGCATGGATGAGTGAACATCTAAGCTATCCAGACAATTTTTTACACATATGTCTTGTACCCAGAACAGAGAACGAGAGCTAGTTGATGGAGATGTTTGAAAAAAGAAAATAACTTGAATCATCAACTCATGATGTTGATGAATATGTAGAGCAGGGTCCTCAAACTACGGTCCACTGGCCCGATCCGGCCCCTTGTTTAAAAAGTTTGAGGCCCCTGATGTAGCGCATAAACAACAACAAAAAAAATACTTGTACATGCAATTTTTTCAATATTCATCATTTTTCATTAATATTGTCTCCAGCCAACTTTGCCGATGCATTATCCATTACTACATCTGCAAACTTGATCCCTGAATTACGCCCCTTATTTGTTAACTTAAAGTCTTCAGTCTGGTACTCGAGAGGAGTTCTTGTGTGTATATGCGACCAGTTGTCAGCTACCTGCGACCAGTGGTCAGCCTTGTAGCAAAGAGAGCCGCACACAGTTGTTCAACAGTGTTTGCTGACAGCATACTCATTATTTTGACCCTACCGTTCCAGCAAAACTTGATGAGATCATTGTTCTTATTATAACTGTCACTAGGGTCGGATGCAAAACTTGATGAGATCATTGTTCTTATTATAACTGTCACTAGGGTCGGATGCAAAACTTGATGAGATCATTGTTCTTATTATAACTGTCACTAGGGTCGGATGCAAAACTTGATGAGATCATTGTTCTTATTATAACTGTCACTAGGGTCGGATGCAAAACTTGATGAGATCATTGTTCTTATTATAACTGTCACTAGGGTCGGATGCAAAACTTGATGAGATCATTGTTCTTATTATAACTGTCACTAGGGTCGGATGCAAAACTTGATGAGATCATTGTTCTTATTATAACTGTCACTAGGGTCGGATGCAAAACTTGATGAGATCATTGTTCTTATTATAACTGTCACTAGGGTCGGATGCAAAACTTGATGAGATCATTGTTCTTATTATAACTGTCACTAGGGTCGGATGCAAAACTTGATGAGATCATTGTTCTTATTATAACTGTCACTAGGGTCGGATGCAAAACTTGATGAGATCATTGTTCTTATTATAACTGTCACTAGGGTCGGATGCAAAACTTGATGAGATCATTGTTCTTATTATAACTGTCACTAGGGTCGGATGCAAAACTTGATGAGATCATTGTTCTTATTATAACTGTCACTAGGGTCGGATGCAAAACTTGATGAGATCATTGTTCTTATTATAACTGTCACTAGGGTCGGATGCAAAACTTGATGAGATCATTGTTCTTATTATAACTGTCACTAGGGTCGGATGCAAAACTTGATGAGATCATTGTTCTTATTATAACTGTCACTAGGGTCGGATGCAAAACTTGATGAGATCATTGTTCTTATTATAACTGTCACTAGGGTCGGATGCAAAACTTGATGAGATCATTGTTCTTATTATAACTGTCACTAGGGTCGGATGCAAAACTTGATGAGATCATTGTTCTTATTATAACTGTCACTAGGGTCGGATGCAAAACTTGATGAGATCATTGTTCTTATTATAACTGTCACTAGGGTCGGATGCAAAACTTGATGAGATCATTGTTCTTATTATAACTGTCACTAGGGTCGGATGCAAAACTTGATGAGATCATTGTTCTTATTATAACTGTCACTAGGGTCGGATGCAAAACTTGATGAGATCATTGTTCTTATTATAACTGTCACTAGGGTCGGATGCAAAACTTGATGAGATCATTGTTCTTATTATAACTGTCACTAGGGTCGGATGCAAAACTTGATGAGATCATTGTTCTTATTATAACTGTCACTAGGGTCGGATGCAAAACTTGATGAGATCATTGTTCTTATTATAACTGTCACTAGGGTCGGATGCAAAACTTGATGAGATCATTGTTCTTATTATAACTGTCACTAGGGTCGGATGCAAAACTTGATGAGATCATTGTTCTTATTATAACTGTCACTAGGGTCGGATGCAAAACTTGATGAGATCATTGTTCTTATTATAACTGTCACTAGGGTCGGATGCAAAACTTGATGAGATCATTGTTCTTATTATAACTGTCACTAGGGTCGGATGCAAAACTTGATGAGATCATTGTTCTTATTATAACTGTCACTAGGGTCGGATGCAAAACTTGATGAGATCATTGTTCTTATTATAACTGTCACTAGGGTCGGATGCAAAACTTGATGAGATCATTGTTCTTATTATAACTGTCACTAGGGTCGGATGCAAAACTTGATGAGATCATTGTTCTTATTATAACTGTCACTAGGGTCGGATGCAAAACTTGATGAGATCATTGTTCTTATTATAACTGTCACTAGGGTCGGATGCAAAACTTGATGAGATCATTGTTCTTATTATAACTGTCACTAGGGTCGGATGCAAAACTTGATGAGATCATTGTTCTTATTATAACTGTCACTAGGGTCGGATGCAAAACTTGATGAGATCATTGTTCTTATTATAACTGTCACTAGGGNGTGTTTTCTTAAAAAGTTGCATTGCATTATGGGCCCACAGGAACGAGTTCCTTTCAATTCCTCCACAGCGTTGTCCCCCCCCCCCCCCCCCTCACACACACACAACTGGTTCATTGAAAGAAAACGACAATTTCTAATCAACAGTCGGCACCATCAGAGGCGTAACGTGATGGGGGCAGGGGGGGACAGATGTCCCCGGGCGCCAAACACCCTCGCTACGCCACTGGGCACCATCAGTTTGAAGAGTCTTATTTGGTTCATTAAGCTGACCTTGACCTTGGCTGGTGAACGCTTACTTCAGGATTCCACAAATTGTTTCCAACTAGGGTTGATTAAGTTTTAGTCTACTACAGTTGGAAATATTTTGTTTTCTAATGGAGCGGTCGACACATTAGCTTAATTAGATAATCTAATCAACGATTCGCTTTTTCCTTTTAATTAAAAAAAAAAAAAAAAAAAAAAAAAAAAAAAACATTTTTGAAACTCAGTATATACGGGCACTTCAAGAAAAAAGTAGCTAAAACAATGACAATCCAAAACAGAAATTTAAATCAAAATTCAGAAGTCGGATCAAGTTAGTTTTAAATGTGTTTCATCAATATTTCTGGCTGGCATCGACGCAGCTTGCAACATGCACCAAGCAACCTGGGACACAAATGTAAATACGTTGCAAGTCTTTCGTTTATTCTAATCTTAGTGTAATGCGGTATATGGTCCACACGTGACCTCGTTGGAATGCTATACCCCCAGATACCCCCATCCCCACCAAGTCATGACATCAACAATAGTTATATGTGTATGGGTTTACTTGTTTAAATCTTTCCTTATTGATCGTATCTGTGTTCTATTTATCTTATATGCCCCTTTTTGGTCTTATAGTCACCTATTGATCTTATCGCAAACACCTTCTGGGATGATTGTCTACCTTATTTTCCAGTTAATGCATAATGGCTGTGTTGCTTATGGTTGAAATGGCTAGAAAGACTTTGACATTGTATGCTTGTAATTAGTTTTTGTAGTGTTGCGTTTGTTTTAAATGTGGTAAATTTAGATTTGTTTTTTGTTGACTTTGTCCCGCGCTTCGAGCCTTTGGGGATGAAGCGTGTTTTTGAAATGAACTTTATTATTATTATTATATGTGTCATATTGATCTTATATGTGTACTATTGATCTTATATGTGTCCTATTGATTTTATTTGCGTCCTATTGATCTTATAAGTGTCTTATTGATCTTATATGTGTCCTTTTGATCTTATACGTCCCCATTGATCTTATATGAGTACTTTTGATCTTAAATGTGTCCCATTGATCTTATATTTGTCCTATTGATCTTTTGTGTCCCCTATTGATCTAATATGTGCCTTTTTGATTTAATATGTGCCCTATTGATCCAATATGTGCCCTATTGATCCAATATGTGTCCTAATTGATCTTATATGCGCCCTGTTGATCTAATATGTGCCCTATTGATCTAATATGTGCCCTATTGATCTTATATTTGCCTTATTGATCTTATATGTGTCCTATTAATCTGTCACGCCCTTAGCCTGTTCGTTATCGGTTGATGGAGTCGGCCTTATCAGTAGAGTACCAGAGTTGTTGTCAATTGGTGTAACGATGAGCGTTTCCATGGTTACATTGCCAGCACACAACAAAAACCATTTTGTATCCTCATATCAGTATTGCCACTCCAAAATAAAAAAAATAGCCACAATGGCAACCCAAAACAGGTGTTTTTTTTTTTTTTTTTTTTTTTTCTA